ATATATATATATATATATATATATATATATATCGCTCGGTATACCGTACCGTACCGTACCGAGCAAACGTCGAAACGTCGATATAGTATGGTATTGCGAACCTTGATTGTACACAACCGCTTATATTAAATAAGCTCATTCTTATTATCCTTCGGCAGAATAGCTTAACTAACTTCTCATTTGCAATATTGATGGTGAATGCTTTGTGATTCTATTGAGAATATAGACAAAATTTTCCACATAAAGTCAGTAATTTATTAAATAAAGGATAATGTCATGGTATATTATTGAGTCGTTGTGCTTACTGCCATCTGACTGCCATTTGCAGAGAGAGACGTGTGCAAGCATTCACACACTAATAAAAATAACAGCTTTCAGATGTTGGACTCACCCAAAGACTGGTTCCTTTCGTCATAATGATTTTAGCATTTAACAATTTATCTCAGAAGAGTTCAAATGGGAAATGAGATACATAAGAAAATAAAACAAGATATGAATTGACATAATCAACCATCAAAACTTTACAAGTTCAGGATAAGCCATTCTGTCTCCCACTGGAGTGACACTACTTACCAGTTACAACTCATAGAAATCTAACTTTAAATATAGTTTTAATTGATATGATATATTTTTCTACCAAATAGCATGGATGAGTTTCAAATGCAAAAAGCAGATTCCAAATGATAGCATAATCCAAGAATGTGTGTACTCATCCAAATAGCATGGACGAATTTCAGTGTACTAAAAAAGAAATGTAAATGCAAACTATCATGTGCCATGCACGAGACCAGTGATCCCAACCATACTTAAGGTCAAACAATTAAATGTAGAACATGCCATGTTGAAACATGGACATATAACCAAGAAGATATTGTGTGGCAGCCCATAATAACATCCAATCTTCCATTTTACTCATCAAGTTGTTTTAAGAAGTTGCAAGGTGTACATATACAAAAGAATAAATCATATACATAAAAAGCATGCAAAATTGGTCTACACCCAGTCACCACATACAAGCATGAGTCCAAATGTACCAAACATTAATTTCTATAGCACAAATAATAATATATATACAAGTTAATGCAAGTAATTAAAAATAAGATACCCTCATGCATTTCACAACCATCCACGTAAACTTACTTGCAATTGAATAATCACAAATTTGCAGTCACTTATATGTGCAGTAACTAGCAAAGATCTAGTACCATATCAACAAGATCAGGCATCACCATGATATAATTTCCAGACAAGTTTAAACTTAAGCATGTCGGCTTTTCAACCTAGCAAGTAACATCAACAACCACCAGGAAAACAATAGCTCGACACAACGAGTATCTCAAAGCAGAAAAAATTACAAAAACCAAATGATGATTTAACATACCTGTGTCTGTACATCATCTCCTGTCACAATATTACCAACAGTACGAAGGGCTGGAATAAGTACAGAAGGTGAAGGATGGCTGCATTAAAAATCATAACCAAATATAAGCATCTTGAAACAGTAAGAAATCACAAATAGAAAGTAAAGTTGATATATTCATACAGAAGAAGCTCCACAAGCCGTGGACAGACACCAGCCTCAAGTACAGCTTGTATTTTGTCGTTGGTACCATCGGACAAATATGACAATGCCCAACATGCATCTGTAAGCACTTCCTCATCGCTTGAATGAATTAGCCGTTCAAGGGCTGGAAGAGCAGGCTTAACCTGCTCATCAAAAAGCAACAATTATTACGAACATGAAATGCTTTGGAAGATCATGAACAATAAACTCACACAGAATCTAGTACTAACCTGCTCAAAGGCTGGCTGTGGCTTCCCTCGGCAAAAATTTGACAGGGTCCAAGTGGCATTCCTTAGCATGGAGAGTTTGGCATGCTCATTCAACTGTTGAAGAAGTGGGAATAACGCTCCATTGCCAAGGACAAGATCTCGGCATCTTGGGGAATCACCAGCCACATTCCCCAAAGCCCATACCGCCTACACCGTCATAAAATTTATTAGCTAATTTGTACCCTACAAGTAAACATTCACACGCATGAGGGCATGTGCAGACACACACAGAGACCTAAAACAAAACAATACAAATGATACCAAAATAAACTTAAAATTTGCATAACACTGTACCTGCTCACGGACATCATCACTAGGGGAACTGAGAAGTTTAACGAAAATGGGAACTGCTCCATGATCTATCACGACCTTAGTGTTCTCTGAGGTGCCGGAGGCAATATTGGTGAGTGCCCAAGCAGCCTCAAACTGCCACATGCCAGAACAAGCAGCAAAACAAATTAATGAACAAAATCTGGAAGAAAAAGACGCAATCAAGTGAAATTTACTTTTCTAGGAGAAATACCAACCTGAAGTTGGGGATAATCTTCCCTTGTAAGGAACTCCACGAATCGTGGAACAACGCCCGACTGTATCACCTCCTCGATCGGAGGGCTTCGCTCTGGTTAATGGGCACATTTAACAATTCAGAATGGCTAATATTCTTAGAACGTAATAGCTAAACACTGCAAATATATTGATCAAACTAATACCTATCGAAAGCAGTTTACGGAACTGCGTGGTTGCTTCTAACTGCAGAGTGCTATCATCAGAATAAACACCGGCCACCATCGCGGGAAGGCTTTCCAACTGCGGATGACCAAATCGAATAGCGCAATGAGAAAACCGCACGTTCGGAATCCAGAACCCTAGTCCCGAACACCCGGAATCGTATCGATCCGGACCACTGATCTGCAACTCAAAACCATGATAAATCAAAGGATCGGCAGACGGGAGGTCACCTTCTTCTCTATGACGGACGCGTGGGTGGCCGTCTGTGGGAGGGGCTGGGCCTGCATCCCCTCCCGCCGCTTCTTCTGGAGGCTCTCCTCCCGCCGGTTCTTGCGGATCTCCACCATGTTGTCCTCCCTGCGCCGCCGGCCCTCCTCCGCGTCCACGGCCACCTTGTACTTATTCCGGCGGACCTCCGCCCTCTCGCTCGGCCTCAGCGACATTTTTTCTCCGCCGGCGCGCGCCTCACCAACCGCAAGCAACAAGACAAATCAGGAGATCGAGCAAACCCTAGGCGACGGACGAGGGGGCGAAACCCAAACCCTAGCGGAGCCCGAAACGAACGCAAAAGAGAACAGAGCTCAATGAAGGAGCGATCATTTTATAGGCTCGAAATGGTAATGAATTAATGCAAAAGGGGCCGCGATCAGGGACGACGAAACCCTAAGATTCGAGATTTATTTTCGAATCAGTACGACGCTTAAGCCCGTTGCCTGCTTTGACACCACTCAAATGCGCCAAGGGGTCCACCATTATCGCAGCAATCAGCAGAGTGGGTGACACAGAGACGAGTCTGTGAGCAAACCTTCGAAAGGGATGGTGGGAGGAAGTGGTGGAGCAGCGAACTAATAGGAGAAGGTTAACTAAAAGTGAACCGTCCGATGTGGCGATACGAAAAAGAATGAAACGTGACGTCGTGCTTTTAAGGAGGAAAATATTATTATACCACGAGTACTTTTGGGTTGTTTACAGCGTTCCGAGGAGCAGGATACCGCTAGAATGACCGGCGATTCCGACGCGGTAAAGTAAACGCCGGTACGAGTTCTAAAGTTACTCCAATGAGAGGTTCTGCAATTATCACAACATTGCCGCTAATCGTGGACCGTGAATATGAGCATTGACCGTTGGATGATGATGATGAAGGATCGACGGCGTCGATCTGTCACCAATTGATACGATCCATTTCCTTATATATATATATAT